GCCAGCGACGCAGCACCCAACGCAAGGCCCCCCCCCGGAGGCCAAACCTAGCGATCGCGAGAGGCAGAAGGTACATTCCCGAAGGAACCAGAACAGCCGACAAAGCCAAACCTGACCCGGCAGGTAGACCATCACGGCAAATTTCAGGTTACCGCACAAACCCTTGAGCAACCGTCAAGTGACCCGGGAGCCCCAAAAACAAGTGAAGGTGGGAGCGCAGCCGAAGCAAAGACTCCGGAGGGAGAGACAAGGAAGCAGTCCGAGAAGCCCACACAAGATCCGGCCAAGTCCGAACCCGAGAGGGAACCAGATGGGACTTCTGCGAGTTCACCTGGAACCCGAACCCAGCGAGCTGGGAAAGAACCAAATCCCCGGCGAGTAGACAAGTGGACCGGCTGGGAGCCCAAACCAGCCAGTCGTCTAGGTAGGCCAGCACCCGAACACCTAAAAGATGCAGATGGGCCACCACAACCTGGGAGAGGCGTGTGAACACATGAGGTGCCAGGTTACTTGGCACCTCAGGTAAAGCAGTAACCGAGTTGCCCTACAATAAAACCAAGCCAGTCCCTGAACCCCGGATGAGTCAGGATGTGGCAATAAGCGTCCCGGAGGTCCAGGGACACCATCCAAGTGCCCAGCTCCAACAGAAGCCTGACCTGGAACAGAGTGGTCAACCAAAAGGAGGGGCAAGAAACCCCAGAGATTCAGACAAGACAAGTCCAGAATGAACAGCAAATCCACACAACAGACGGGGAATAAATGGGAAGCCCATCTGAGGGGCGTCATCGTTTTGACCACACCCAAGTGCACCCACTCCGAGATGAGCCAAAAGAGTGCAGGAGAAGAGGCCTGCCCCGCCAGCCCCGAACCCCCCGAAGGAGGAGGGGCCACCCAACGCCATCACAGGCCATCGGAAACGACCTGAAAAGCCCACCAATCGTAATACCATGTGTGAGCAAACAGCGTGAGCCTCCCTTCCATCGCCCCATTAATGGGACAAACCACAATATGGCCAATAGGGTCCGAAGGCAGCGCCGGAACAGAAACTGGCACCGGCACAGAAACTGGAACCAGCGGCCTACCACGACGAGAGGAATCTCGAGCCCTGGCACAACCCCACTGGAAAGAACCCCAACCCCCTCCCCCCGGGGAACCCCGAAGAACCAACAAGTCCGATATCGGACGACAACTAGAAGAAGCCGGCTGCAGATACTGCCCGACCGCAGAATTTGCAAACAGCAAGGAACAAAAGGGCGACGAAAATCTAAGAGCCAGGGCCCAAGCAGATTCTAACGAGGAAGCGAGCACCACCTGCCGATACGTTAGACGCGAAGAGAAAAATGGCAACACATCATCCCGCAGGACTGGCCCTAAGCGCTTCCACATCCTCATCAAGCCAATCCGAAGACAGCTCCAGGAAGGAAAAGAACTGCAAGACCGAAGCCAACAGGCCACGAGCGCACAAGTCCTCAGATACCAATGCAGCCAAAAGGGATGGAACTTGCAGGTGAAGCTGCACCACGCCAACATCCCCACTGAAGGGCAGAGGCGAGCAAACACGCATTGAGGTGCTTGAAGTCGCCCCCCCAGGTAAACCTGGACCACCATCAGCGTCTCAAGCATGCGGGATACAACAGAAAGTACTCCAAGCATCCAAAGACAGCCCAGGGCAGTCCGCTAGCCAGGACGACTCCGGAACCTCATAACGAACCCAGTAGGAAGACGAAGACCCAAACCTGAATGAAGACGTATCCATTATATAGGCATAATCCGGGTCGCGCAGGAGGTAAGCTGCAATGGCCCGCCTGCACCTCGTGAAGCGGGATGCAGGAAGCCGAAAACCTCCGGAAGGACGGAACCAAGGGACCCGGGGAGGGGCCAACACCAAATCCAACTCGTACGCAGAGGGGGGAAAGAAAATCCCACTCAACCTTGCAACAGTAAGCCCCACTCGGAGGGTAGGAAAACACAGGTGGGGTCCAACAGGGCCCAAGGCCTCCAAGTCAGCCCCTCCCCAACCCCGGGAACCTCCACACCAGGACCCGGGGCCGAATCGTCCTCCAAAGCCCCGGCCTCAAAAGAAAAAGCCGGGGCAGCCAAAAAGGCAGGAAGGAAAGGGGCCCACTTGTCAGACCCCAATGCAATGGCTGGAGGAACCGACTCTAATGCCTCCGTCACCACCCCGGAAGGGGCATCACCCGAGACTGCCCAAGTCTCAAAACTAGCTAAACTCTACCCTGACCCAAGCCCTCAGACGCTTCGGAGCTGGAAGCAGGGGAAGAGGGCCAAAATGCACCACAGAAGGGGAAGAACGAGGGGGGTGCAGACTGAAATAAGGCCGAAGATACCAACACCCCCAAGTCCGGGCCCGTATAAGGAAAATGGGGCAGCCTTGGGACTTCCGGGTTAGCAATCAACCTAGAGCGTTGCAGCAACTTATACCTAGCATGCAACGCCTGAGCTGACCCGCATGAAAATAGTCATCAGTGGACTGGGTGAACTGAGTCACTAACAAGCAACAAAACGCGCAGGACTCTGGGTCGAAAGTGTCACCAACCCAGCAGGAAGCATGACGGAGGCAAAAACAGTGAGTCACCCTGAGACAAGGGGCACAGAGCAACCCTCAAACTCGCACAAGGCGAGAGGGAACCCAGGGGTTGCATCCATTGGACCCCTTGTGTCCCCGCGGGGTTTCCCAGGGCCCTTAGACTGGTATCACTAAGGGAAGCCCAGGCAGGGTACTGCGAACCGGCACCCAAGTCGACTAAACTTCTAAAAGCTGAACCACCAGGACGTGTCCACTCAAAGGGGCCTAGCATGGGATACCACCAAAACCCCAGAGATATATATATGGAGGTACAGTGGCAACCAACCGAAGGCAGACTTCCCTCCCCACCAGGCAGAAAACAAAAACAAAAAAAAAAAACACCCTGCAAGAGGACAACGTACCTAGACGAAACAGAGCCGGTCGCTTTAACAGGTGATTAGCTGTGCAGTACCCCGTGCCCCTACCAGTGCAAACTACCCTTTACCCCAAGGTAAACAAGGGAGGAGGAAACTCTTCACCCCCCTCTGCACATCCGGGGCGGTCAATCACCAAGCAGCAAAAGACCAACAGAGGTAGACTCCAAGGTGACTTGTGGAAGAGAACCCCAAGCCCCAAGGGCGGTACTTACAGGGCACTTAGGGAAGGCAACCCTAAGCACACGCAGCCCGAGTACCTGTAAAGATTACTCCCAGCTCACGCACCACCCTGAAGACAGCACTAGACACAAGGCACAGCGCTGAAAACAAGAATCAGGAGTTGGAGTCACACACCCAAGCCTCAAACACATCAGCCGAGAACTAAAGGTGTGGGTAGCTGGCATGAGGGGTCTGGGGCTTCCCCTTCCCCCTCCCAGAAAGCGAGGAGCTGCTCAGATGGGGGTGCGGCATGTGGTGACGTCATGCTCGTTTGCTTGTTTTTCTCTGGAGAGTTCTGTCTACTCGTTTAATTTTCAGTACTAGTTTCAACCAGAATAAGAGTTTGTTTTGGGATGCTTACCTTTCTGGATGCCTGACCCGGTCAATGGCAGACACAGAATGTTCCAAATCACATGTACAATTCTATAGGCCATTGCGCCTCTTGCCTCTCTGAGGGGGGCCAGGTTCTGGCTAATGGTCCCCGGTAGGCCTAAGAACTCCAGTCACACTGACTGATGCCAAAATCTAATATATCTATATCAGCCTGGATAGCTCCGGGGAGCCGAAGGGGCTCCTCCCAGAAACTACTATACTATATAAACAGGAGGATGGGTTGGTTTATGTCACTAATATGTGCGCAATATTATATTCTTTGAACAATAAAATTGTTTTTTGTTGCTCATACACATCATATATACTGTATACACACGTTATATTTAACTACATGCTTATACACCATTATGAAATGCTAAGCTGTTTTCATGGCTGTGATAACCTTATGACCAGTGATGCAATCCGAACACAGCCCCCACACTCGGCATCTGACGAAGCAAACTGCCACCCAATACTGTATACTAAACACACCACTAATACTAGCCACGACTGCTATTATTATAAGAATCTTGGTCACTAAATCCTGATTATATTTTTCCCAGGTTCATTTTCCAAAGGAAAATGAGGTATTGTCACACGATGTAAAGATGCATGCGTCTGTGTGCCTTGTACTGGCAATCACCACCACCTGCATTGGGTTCAGTTACCTAAACCTTGCCCATAATCTTTATCACTGTCAGGACCTTCTATGTCGTTATCATCGTTAAATTATTGATGATTCTTGCTTCATCCTCATTAAGTGATGGTGCAGGCACGAGCCATATGATGGAGGTGAGAGCTGGTGCTGCACGTGCTACTCGTGTTTACCATGTTGTTCCCGAGGCCTTCACAACAAGGTGAGGAAACCATAACTTTTATCAAAGACGGCATGTGTTTACTGGCGGCCTGAGGAAGTGAATGTCAGCCCCATGTACCTGCGGCCATTTCAAAGGTTTTGCAGTACAGTACCTAAAATCATCTCGGAATTTGATGTGCACCAGTCATTCTTATTATGTGATGCACAGCTAACATGTTAAACCACAAATGTAACCATGACCAAATACAAATAAATATCCTATCTACATAAATAAATAGATACACAAATACTTCCTCATGTTAACAGGGACCTTTTTTGTATTTATCTTAACATATCAATGACACTCTTGCTACACAGTTTGATCACAAACACTTCACACACAGGCATTACACACACTTAAATATTACAATTAGTCACTGCACAAGTCTACTAACTAGCGTAGATGTTACAAAACACAAACTGTCTTCAGGTTTTACCCATTTACTGATAAAGGATTATTTTGCCATATCTTGTTTATGCAACTAAACCATTAGTGCTATCTAATCCAAGTAGTTAATTGTGACAATGAAAATGGCCTCGTACTGAAGTCATGTATTTCCGTATGTAAACACACAGAATTCCAACTCACCATCCCTTAGAGAGAACCTCATCTGTGCACCAAAGAGAGAAATAGTGCCGGTGCCAGTCCGATCTCCTTTTCTGGTCCCATGATTCAATATGTTTCTGACTAAATCCAAGTACTGAAGCTCATCATGCCTTTCAAACTGCAAAGTGAGGCTTTGTTTAATATTATAATTAGAGGTTTACCTGTGTATCGGCATCAGAGTATCGGTACAAGACAAAATATTGGTATCGGTACATCTAATGTAACGATACCAATAGTAATAGCTAATGCTATTACAGTGAATTTAATTTCTTTATTATGTACCCCATACCCATCCCATGGGCGGTGGTGGAAAGGGTTACAAAGGCATTTAATCGGTTCAGTAACTGAACCCCGTAGTTCATTTAGCTAAGCAAGTGAATATTGTGAAGCTAGTTACACAATTGTTAATATTACATACACATGTACATTATTTTTTAAATAAATAAATATATAAAATAAATAAATAAATATATAAAATAAATAAATAAATAAATAAATAAATAAATAAATAAATAAACAAATAAACAAACAAACATACATACATACACACACACACATACATACATACATACATACATACATACACATACATACATACATACATATATATATATATATATATATATATATATATATATATATATATATATATGTGTGTGTTGTACCTAGTAGCCAGAACGCACTTCTCAGCCTACTATGCAAGGCCCGATTTGCCTAATAAGCCAAGTTTTCATGAATTAATGTTTTTTCGACTACCTAACCTACCTAACCTACCCTAACCTAACTTTTTCGGCTACCTAACCTAACCTATAAAGATAGGTTAGGTTAGGTAGGGTTGGTTAGGTTCGGTCATATATTTACGTTAGTTTTAACTCCAATAAAATAAAATTGACCTCATACATAATGAAATGGGGAGCTTTATCATTTCATAAGAAAAAAATTAGAGAAAATATATTAATTCAAGAAAACTTGGCTTATTAGGCAAATCGGGCCTTGCATAGTAGGCTGAGAAGTGCGTTCTGGCTACTAGGTACGAGACACACACACACACACACACACACACACACACACACACCCTAAACGGTGCCAAACAGATGGAAGAAGTACTAAGGAATGCTAGAAAATTGCAAAGGGATGAGGATGGGAAAGGGTGGTCGTTAAGACGAGATCTTTCAAAAGAAGATAGAGAGAAGCTGAAACTGAACCTCGCCGAGGCAAAACATTTAAATGAGAGCAGGAATGAAGAAGAAATAAATTCTTTTTTCTACAAAGTGATAGGGGTAGGCAAACCAGTAAAGTGGTACATAAAGGCAAACCAACAAAATCAATAGAGAGAGGGGGAGTGAAGAATAAGGAGAGGGGGAACAAGTTCCTGAAGATTGCATACACCAACATAGATGGAGTGAGATCGAAGATACTGGAGTTAAGTGATGTAATACAGCTGCAGACACCAGACATTGTTGCACTCACGGAGACAAAACTTGAAGATGTAATTTTAAATGAGGTCATATTCCCAAGGGGCTACTCAATTTGGAGACGGGACAGAAAAATTAGGAAAGGCGGTGGCGTTGCTGTGCTGGTAAAAGAACACCTAAAGGTGAAGGAAATAATGACTGCCAATCCACAAGAAGTTGACATAATAGCACTAGAGATCTGCTATGAGGATGATAAACTAATGATGATAAATGCATATAGTCCACCGCCAAGCAGCACATGGTCAAAGGAGGAGCTAGATAGTAAACGTGAAGGTCTTATAACAATAATGAGAGAGATTATAGCGAGAGCGGATAACGATAGATCACGACTGTTGATAGTCGGTGACTTCAACTTGAAATCCATAGACTGGGAAGCATATGAAGCTAAAACAGAAGATTTTTGGACCTGTAAATTTGTAGACCTCATCCTGGAAACATTCTTGTATCAACATGTTAAACAAGCTACGAGGATGAGGGAAGGGGACGTTCCCTCCATGCTAGATTTGATATTTACCAGGAAGGAGGAAGAGATATTTGACATTCAGTACCTTCCTCCCTTGGGTAAAAGTGACCATGTCTTTTTGGGAATAAAGTATGCAATGCGTTATAAGCTGGAAGAAAATAAGGAGGTTGAAGCAGTTGAAAAACCAGACTTCAGGAGAGGACATTATGGTGACCTTAGAAATTTTTTAGTGAGTATAATTGGACAGACTTGATGCTAGGCAAGGAAGTGAATGAGATGTATGGCAAGTTTTGTGAAATATATGATAAAGGCACAAAAAAATTTATACCAAAACAGAGATGCAGGACCAGAAAACAGGATTGGTTCGACAGAAATTGTGAGAGGGCAAGAGACCAAAAGACACAAAAATGGAATCGGTATAGGAAGAGGCCAAACCCCCAAACATACCAGCGATACAAAGATGCGAGAAACAATTATACAGCAGTAAGGAGAGAGGCAGAAAGAAATTTTGAAAAAGGGATAGCAGATAAATGTAAAACAGAACCGGGCCTATTCTACAAATTCATAAACAACAAATTGCAGGTAAAGGATAATATCCAGAGGTTGGAAATGGGAAACAGATTCACGGAAAATGAAAATGAAATGTGTGAAACATTAAATGAAAAGTTCCAAAGTGTGTTTGTACAAAATGAAATCTTCAGAGAACCAGACACAATAAGAATTCCAGAGAACAACATAGAGCGGATAGAGGTGTCTAGAGATGAAGTGGAAAATATGCTAAAGGAGCTCGGGAGGAACAAAGCAGCTGGCCCAGATGGCGTTTCACCATGGGTTCTGAGAGAATGTGCATCTGAGCTCAGCATTCCACTTCACCTGATCTTTCAGGCATCCCTGTGTACAGGAATCGTAGCAGACGTGTGGAAACAGGCTAACATAGTTCCAATCTACAAAAGTGGCAGCAGGGAAGACCCCCTCAATTATAGACCTGTATCATTGACAAGTGTAATAGTGAAAGTATTGGAAAAGCTAATCAAAACTAAATGGGTAGAACACCTGGAGAGAAATGATATAATATCAGACAGACAGTATGGTTTTCGATCAGGAAGATCCTGTGTATCGAATTTACTCAGTTTCTATGATCGGGCCACAGAGATATTACAGGAAAGAGATGGCTGGGTTGACTGCATCTATCTGGACCTAAAAAAGGCTTTCGACAGAGTTCCACATAAGAGGTTGTTCTGGAAACTGGAAAATATTGGAGGGGTGACAGGTAAGCTTCTATCATGGATGAAAAATTTTCTGACTGATAGAAAAATGAGGGCAGTAATCAGAGGCAATGTATCGGAATGGAGAAATGTCACAAGTGGAGTACCACAGGGTTCAGTTCTTGCACCAGTGATGTTTATTGTGTACATAAATGATCTACCAGTTGGTATACAGAATTATATGAACATGTTTGCTGATGATGCTAAGATAATAGGAAGGATAAGAAATTTAGATGATTGTCATGCCCTTCAAGAAGACCTGGACAAAATAAGTATATGGAGCACCACTTGGCAAATGGAATTTAATGTTAATAAATGTCATGTTATGGAATGTGGAATAGGAGAACATAGACCCCACACAACCTATATATTATGTGAGAAATCTTTAAAGAATTCTGATAAAGAAAGAGATCTAGGAGTGGTTCTAGATAGAAAACTATCACCTGAGGACCACATTAAGAATATTGTGCAAGGAGCCTATGCAATGCTTTCTAACTTCAGAATTGCATTTAAATACATGGATGGCGATATACTAAAGAAATTGTTCATGACTTTTGTTAGGCCAAAGCTAGAATATGCCGCTGTTGTGTGGTGCCCATATCTTAAGAAGCACATCAACAAACTGGAAAAGGTGCAAAGACATGCTACGAAGTGGCTCCCAGAACTGAAGGGCAAGAGCTACGAGGAAAGGTTGGAAGCATTAAACATGCCAAAACTAGAAGACAGAAGAAAAAGAGATGATATGATCACTACATACAAAATAGTAACAGGAATTGATAAAATCGACAGGGAAGATTTCCTGAGACCTGGCACTTCAAGAACAAGAGGTCATAGATTTAAACTAGCTAAACACAGATGCCGAAGAAATATAAGAAAATTCACCTTCGCAAATAGAGTGGTAGACGGTTGGAACAAGTTAAGTGAGAAGGTGGTGGAGGACCGTCAGTAGTTTCAAAGCGTTATATGACAAAGAGTGCTGGGAAGACGGGACACCACGAGCTAGCTCTCATCCTGTAACTACACTTAGGTAATTACACTTAGGTAATTACACATATATATATTACATACACATACTGTACATACATATATATACATACATACATACATACATACACACACACACACACAGTTTTGTAAACAGAGTGGTAGATGGTTGGAACAAGTTAAGTGAGAAGGTGGTGGAGGCCAAAACCGTCAGTAATTTCAAAGCATTATATGACAGAGTGCTAGGGAGACGGGACACCACGAGCGTAGCTCTCATCCTGTAACTACACTTAGGTAATTACTTAGGTAATTACACACACACACACACCAGATAGGGCCAGAGATCAAAAGACACAAAAATGGAATCAATACAGGAAGAGGCTGAACCCCCAAACATACCAGCGATACAAAGATGCGAGAAACAACTACACGGCAGTGAGGAGAGAGGCAGAAAGAAATTTTGAAAAAGGGATTGCAGACAAATGTAAAACAGAACCAGGTCTATTCTATAAATTCATAAACAACAAATTGCAGGTAAAGGATAATATTCAGAGGTTGAAAATGAGAAATAGATTCACGGAAAATGAAAAGGAAATGTGTGAAACATTAAACGAAAAGTTCCAAAGTGTGTTTGTACAAAATGAAATCTTCAGGGAACCAGACACAAAAAGAATTCCAGAGAACAACATAGAGCGGATAGAGGTGTCTAAAGACGAAGTGGAAAAAATGCTCAAGGAGCTAAATAAGAACAAAGCAGATCCAGATGGAGTTTCACCATGGGTTCCGAGAGAATGTGCATCTGAGCTCAGCATTCCACTTCACCTGATCTTTCAGGCATCCCTGTGTACATGAATCGTAGCAGACGTGTGGAAAAAGGCTAACATAGTTCCAATCTACAAAAGTGGCAGCAGAGAAGACCCCCTCAATTATAGACCTGTATCATTGACAAGTGTAATAGTGAAAGTATTGGAAAAACTGATCAAAACTAAATGGGTAGAACACCTGGAGAGAAATTATATAATATCAGACAGACAGTATGGTTTTCGATCTGAAAGATCCTGTGTATCGAATTTACTCAGTTTCTATGATCGAGCCACAGAAATTTTACAGGAAAGAGATGGTTGGGTTGACTGCATCTATCTGGACCTAAAAAAGGCTTTCGACAGAGTTCCACATAAGAGGTTCTGGAAACTGGAAAATATTGGAGGTGACAGGTAAGCTTCTAACAAGGATGAAAGTTTTTCTGACTGATAGAAAAATGAGGGCAGTAATTAGAGGCAATGTATCGGACTGGAGAAATGTCACAAGTGGAGTACCACAGGGTTCAGTTCTTGCACCAGTGATGTTCATTGTCTACATAAATGATCTACCAGTTGGAATACAGAATTATATGAACATATTTGCTGATGATGCTAAGATAATAGGAAGGATAAGAAACTTAGATGATTGTCATGCCCTTCAAGAAGACCTAGACAAAATAAGTATATGGAGCACCACTTGGCAAATGGAATTTATTGTGAATAAATGCCATGTTATGGAATGTGGGATAGGAGAACATAGACCCCCAGACAACCTATAAAAATTACGTGAGAAATCTTTAAAGAATTCTGATAAAGAAAGAGATCTAGGGGTGGTTCTAGATAGAAAACTATCACCTGAGGACCACAAAGAATGTTGTGCGAGGAGCCTATGCCACACTTTCTAACTTCAGAATTGCTTTTAAATACATGGATGGCGAAATACTAAAGAAATTGTTCACGACTTTTGTTAGGCCAAAGCTAGAATATGCAACGGTTGTGTGGTGCCCATATCTTAAGAAGCACATCAACAAACTGGAAAAGGTGCAAAGACATGTTACTAAGTGGCTCCCAGAACTGAAGGGCAAGAGCTACGAGGAGAAGTTAGAGGCATTAAATATGCCAAAACTAGAAGACAGAAGAAAAAGAGGTGATATGATCACTACATACAACAGGAATTGATAAAATCAATAAGGAAGATTTCCCGAGACCTGGAATTTTAAGAACAAGAGGTCATAGATTTAAATTAATTAAACAAAGATGCCGAAGAAATATAAGAAAATTCACTTTTGCAAACAGAGTGGTAGACGGTTGGAACAAGTTAAGTGGTGGTGGAGGCCAAAACTGTCAGTAGCTTCAAAGCGTTATATGACAAAGAGTGCTGGGTAGACGGGACACCACGAGCATAGCTCTCATCCTGTAATACACTTAGGTAATTACACACACACAGTACATCCATGCATCCATGTACACAAACACTTCAATAATCTTTTAATAACACAAGTGATTCAACAAGAGGCTCTCAACAGTTTCTATACAAGGCATGATACATCTATGGCGAGTCAGTTACATTAAATGAAAGAGCGGTGATCACTATCAAACATCGTTGCTAGGTCATGCTTGAGTAAAGAAAACACTAGGGAAGACTATCTGGCTCGTAATGACATCAAGAAAGTTCCTTCACCTACACATTAACTCCACTCCATGTGCTGCTCAGCATCAGGGAGGCTCTGGAGTACCGATTTGTTAACTAGAGATGCACCCATATCAAAAACTTTGACCACCTCAGGTTATGGAGACAAACGGCCTCACAGATCAGCTAATCATATCATCAGGGAAGACTGTCTACAAAAGCCAGGCTGTGGGAGTGGATGATCTCTCAAAAAGAAGCACATTGGATACAGGTATTAACCAGTACCAATATTTTGGGAGGGTTAATGTTGAAGACCGATACTGTACCAACAAAAACTAAACTTCTTTAAAACAGTAATGATACTCAAGACCTAAGGGTTTGCAAACAGTGATGCTAAATCAATAAAATTCTACCATTATTATCATCATAATAATTATAGCAGAACTATTTTTACCAAGTCCATAAAACAGTCATGTCAAATTGATTTTTCTGAACCAATTATTGATTAACAACACACAAAAATCCACACAATACCTGTTTTACATAGCTAACCAGTTCAACTGGTCCAGTGCAAGATGACTTGCATTCTCATCCTTATGGGCTGGAAACTTTGAATAGAATTGAGTGTTCTTAAGAAGAATTCAATACCTACGTGCAGCATATGGAAACTACCAATTTGCTGAGACTATATAAATCTAATCAAAATCCTCTTATGGCTGTCATCTTCACAGGAACACTGCACCTTTCAAAACCCAAATAATCCAAATAATGAACACAAGTTATTTTTAAACGTTCTTCAAAACTTACACTGTACTATAAAGTATATAAAAAAAAATTATGTGAATTTTTTCACAAATTTTTTACATAAAAAATATGCCCATAAAACTCACAGTTTTCCCTTTGACTTCAGCTGATGGTTCTTTCCCGTTGACTTCAGCTGGTGGTTCTTTCCCGTTGACTTCAGCTGGTGGTTCTTTCCCGTTGACTTCAGCTGGTGGTTCTTTCCCGTTGACTTCAGATGGTGGTTCTTTCCCGTTGACTTCAGCTGGTGGTTCTTTCCCGTTGACTTCAGCTGGTGGTTCTTTCCCGTTGACTTCAGATGGTGGTTCTTTCCCGTTGACTTCAGATGGTGGTTCTTTCCCGTTGACTTCAGCTGGTGGTTTAGCGTCATCTGTCACCTGCTGAAAGAATGGAATTCATCATAACACTTTATATATATACAAATATTTCATTTTATTGCACATGAGGTCAATGAATTATCATACAGGTAATCAGATTTCAATACAATTAGACCACAATCCAAATTACACGGAAATCCGAATTAACCAAATTTCTAACATGAAAAATAAACAAATTTGTAATTTTTTTGTACCCAATATCAACATCATTAGTATTTCCACATGAAATAATCCAATTTACAAGGTTAAGGAAGGATCTTCATAAAAAATAAAATAGAATGACTATAAATTTTCAGATTATCGTACCTTGGTGAAGCTTACTTTTTGATCACTGTAGGACTGCAATTCTATACCTTTAGCTCACCTAACCTAGTCTCAGATTTATTGTGGAAATGCTTGACAAGGTCAGCTTTAACTGCCAGCTGCTGCGGCTTTGCTGGTTGAAGGTCTTTGGCTTTCCGATCTTGCCAAATATGAGCTGCTGTATTTTGATTTGCCTACATTTTTCATTTGCATCGTTTATAATTAGCTCTTTGGTCTGCTAATATAAACTTCCTATTTCTTTACTATAAATGTTGGATGCATAATCTCATCTTCACTCACTACACCATACCCTGGCTCACTTGCATCTTTTTCTATATAGTCAACAATATCCTGAAGTTTTACAAATCTTTATAAATAGGAAGCACCAAAAATGAGGGTCTTGGAGCAGAATATATGCATGTTTGCAAGAGGGGGTTTTGGAGCTCATTCCACACATCAGTCCCCAACTTTACCAATGACTTGATTGCACCATCAGACCCCAAAATGTGGAGAATTTGCTACAAGACCCTGACTCTTGCAAACGTATGCATGCAATCAGCTCTGAGGCCCCTGACTTTTGTAAACGTTTGCATGCAATCAGTTCCGAGGGCCCCTGACTTTTGCAAACGTATGCATGCAATCAGTTCCAAGGCCCCTGACTTTTGCAAACGTATGCATGCAATCAGTTCGAAGGCCCCTGACTTTTGCAAACATATGCATGCAATCAGTTCCGAGGCCCTGACTTTTGCAAACGTGCGTAATTACATAAGTAATCACCTAAGTGTAGTTACAGAAGTATAGCTATGTAGCCAAGTGTAGTAGCTATGCTCATGTTGTCCCATGTGGCACTCCGTCATATAACACATAAAACCATCAGTACTAGTACTGTAGTTTCAAAGCATTATATGACAAAGGGTGGTGGGAATACAGGATACCACAAGTGTAGCTCTCGTCCTGTAACTACACTTACGTAATTACTCATGTAATTACCCAAGTTTGCAAGAGTCAGGGACTCTGACCTGATTGCATATAAACATTTGCAAAATTCTCCATGTTTTGGAGACTGATGAAAATATAGTACAGTACATTGTTTTAATTCCTGCCAATATATTTCGTTACTCTTCACTTTACATTCAATAATTTAGTTTTTTTTTTCAGAATTAAGTAACATTGCAAATACAGAAGAAAGGAAAATCTTTCTTTGTTGCCCACAAGCATCAAGTTAAATAGCATCTACCCATCTACCTTAAAAGATAATTTAACTTCAAGGGAGTAACCACAGAATTAACCCATGCTTAAATGATGATAAATTAATGAATTCCCAAAGGTAACTTGGGATAAAATGTTAGTGAATGTCAACTTTGATATCACTCACCTCCTTGCCATTAACTGATGGTCTAGTTTCTTCAGTCATCATCTGAAAGAACCCAGTTCTGAATTACTTGTACATTAAGCAATACAATACAATACAGTACTGTATTGAAAAAACAGCATTTTACTTTGGATACCTCACATCGTACACACGACGGCTCACCAACGAATTTTATAGCTTACTTAACCCCAACCCAACCAAGCCTAACCTTGCCTAATCTGTAACAATAAATAATAATACTTTATTCATAAAATATATGGACAAAGAACATATGATAGAGGTACATTTTAAGGTCCAGATGTTGCATATTAAATGAACCTGCTACTATGCAGAGTGCTCCAGGCTAATATTATCATTATATTAAATTGACTACCTCCAACCTCTCCCTCCCTCCCCCTCCCCTGCCATCACTACCTCCTCCCTCCCCCTCCCTGCCATCATTACCTCCTCCCTCCCCCTCCCTGCCATCACTACCTCCTCCCTCCCCCCTCCCCTGCCATCACTACCTCCCTCCCCCTCCCCTGCCATCACTACCTCCCTCCCCCTCCCCTGCCATCACTACCTCCTCCCTCCCTCCCCCTGCCATCATTACCTCCTCCCTCCCCCTCCCCTGCCATCACTACCTCCCTCCCCCTCCCCTGCCATCATTACCTCCCTCCCCCTCCCCCCTGCCATCATTACCTCCCTCCCCCTCCCCCCTGCCATCACTATAATAATAATAATAATAATATTTTATTTAGGTAAGGTACATACATACAATAAATTTTTACAAAGATTGGTTGACTTATAGGTAGAGCTAGTACATACAATGCCTAAAGCCACTATTACGCAAAGCGTTTCGGGCATGATAAACTTAAATGACAAGCTTAATACTAAATGAGCATAATGAGTAGATGAAAACAAGAAATGAAAACATAGATGAAAAAGCAGCACAAATACAAATATGTCGACAAACAGCGCTCTTTAAAGAAAAACAGACATTGGATGACAATAGAAGGGTAAGGTAGGTTACAGGGAATTTATTAGGTATAGCTTCGTTTTTAACTTAAACTGGTTGAGAGGGGTACAGTCTTTAACATGGTTGGGAAGGTCATTCCACATTCTGGGCCCCTTGATTTGTAGAGCATTTCTAGTTTGATTAAGTCGTACTCTAGGAATATCAAAACTGTATTTATTTCTGGTTATTACTAACTCCTCCCTCCCCCCTCCCCTGCCATCACTACCTCCCTCCCCCTCCCCTGCCATCACTACCTCCCTCCCCCTCCCCTGCCATCACTACCTCCCTCCCCCTCCCATCACTACCTCCCTCCCCCTCCCCTGCCATCACTACCTCCCTCCCCCTCCCCTGCCATCACTACCTCCCTCCCCCTCCCCTGCCATCACTACCTCCCTCCCCCTCCCCTGCCATCACTACCTCCCTCCCCCTCCCCTGCCATCACTACCTCCCTCCCTCCCTCCCCCTGCCATCACTATCTCCTCCCTCCCTCCCCCCTGCCATCACTATCTCCTCCCTCCCCCTCCCCTGCCATCACTACCTCCTCCCTCCCTCCCCCTGCCATCACTACCTCCCTCCCCCTCCCCTGCCACCACTAACTCCTCCCTCCTCCCTCCCTGCCATCACTACCTCCTCCCTCCCTCCCCCCTGCCATCACTACCTCCTCCCTCCCTGCCATCACTACCTCCTCCCTCCCCCCCCCTGCCATCACTACCTCCTCCCTCCCTCCCTCCCCCCCTGCCATCACTACCTACTCCCTCCCTCCCCCCCTGCCATCACTACCTCCCTCCCTCCCCCCCTGCCATCACTACCTCCTCCCTCCTTCCCCCCTGCCATCACTAACTCCTCCCTCCCTCCCCCTGCCATCACTACCTCCTCTCTCCCTCCCCCCTGCCATCACTACCTCCTCTCTCCCTCCCCCCTGCCATCACTACCTCCTCTCTCCCCTCCCCCCTGCCATCACTACCTCCTCTCTCCCTCCCCCTGCCATCACTACCTCCTCTCTCCCTCCCTCCCCCCTGCCATCACTACCTCCTCTCTCCCCTCCCCCCCTGCCATCACTACCTCCTCTCTCCCTCCCCCTGCCATCACTACCTCCTCTCTCCCTCCCCCCTGCCATCACTACCTCCTCCCTCCCTCCCCCTGCCATCACTACCTCCTCCCTCCCTCCCTCCCCCTGCCATCACTACTTCCTCCCTCCCTCCCCCCTGCCATCACTACCTCCTCCCTCCCTCCCCCCTGCCATCACTACCTCCTCCCTCCCTCCCCCCTGCCATCACTACCTCCTCCCCCTCCCTCCCCTGCCATCACTACCTCCTCCCTCCCTCCCTACCCTGCCATCACTACCTCCTCCCTCCCTCCCCCCTGCCATCACTACCTCCTCCCTCCCCTTCCCCTGCCATCACTACCTCCTCCCTCCCCTTCCCCTGCCATCACTACCTCCTCCCTCCCCTTCCCCTGCCATCACTACCTCCTCCCTCCCTCCCCCCTGCCATCACTACCTCCTCCCTCCCTCCCTCCCCCTGTCATCACTACCTCCTCCCTCCCTCCCTCCCCCTGTCATCACTACCTCCTCCCTCCCCCCTGCCATCACTACTGCCTCCCTCCCTCCCCTGCCATCACTACCTCCTCCCTCCCCCCTGCCATCACTACCTCCTCTCTCCCTCCCCCCTGCCATCACTACCGCCTCCCTCCCTCCCCCTTGCCATCACTACCGCCTCCCTCCCTCCCCCTTGCCATCACTACCTCCTCCCTCCCTCCCCCCTGCCATCACTACCTCCTCCCTCCCTCCCCCCTGCCATCACTACCTCCTCTCTCCCTCCCCCTGCCATCACTACCTCCTCCCTCCCTCTCCCCTGCCATCACTACCCTCCTCCCTCCCTCCCCCCTGCCATCACTACCTCCTCCCTCCCTCCCCCCTGCCATCACTACCTCCTCCCTCCCCCCTCCCCTGCCATCACTACCTCCTCCCTCCCTCCCTCTTCCTGCCATCACTACCTCCTCCCTCCCTCCCTACCCTGCCATCACTACCTCCTCCCTCCCTCCCTACCCTGCCATCACTACCTCCTCCTCCCCCCCCCCCTGCTATCACTACCTCCTCCCTCCCTCCCTCCCCCTGCCATCACTACCTCCTCCCTCCCCCCCTGCCATCACTACCTCCTCCCTCCCTCCCTACCCTGCCATCACTACCTCCTCCCTCCCCCTGCCATCAATACCTCCTCCCTCCCTCCCCCCTGCCATCAATACCTCCTCCCTCCCTCCCCCCTGCCATCACTACCTCCTCCTCCCTCCCTCCTTCCCCCCTGCCATCACTACCTCTTCCCTCCTTCCCTCCCCCCTGCCATCACTACCTCCTCCCTCCGTCCCTCTCCCTGCCATCACTACCTCCTCCCTCCCTCCCATCACTACCTCCCTCCCTCCCTCCTCCTGCCATCAATACCTCCTCCCTCCCTCCTCCTGCCATCAATACCTCCTCCCTCCCTCCCCCCTGCCATCAATACCTCCTCCCTCCCTCCCCCCCTGCCATCACTACCTCCTCCCTCCCCCCCCTTGCCATCACTACCTACTCTCCTCCCTCCCCCCCTGCCATCACTACCCCCTCTCTCCCTCCCCCCTGCCATCACTACCTCCCCCCCCTGTCATCACTACCTCCTCCCTCCCTCCCTCCCCCTGCCATCACTACCTCCTCCCTCCCTCCCTCCCTCCCTCCCCCCTGCCATCACTACCTCCTCCCTTCCCCTACCATCACTATCTCCTCCCTCCCTCCCTCCCCTGCCATCAATACTTCCTACCTCCCTCCCCCTGCCATCAATACCTCCTCCCTCCCTCCCCCTGCCATCACTACCTCCTCCCTCCCTCCCCCTGCCATCAATACCTCCTCCCTCCCTCCCTCCCCCCTGCCATCACTACCTCCTCCCTCCCTCCCTCCCCCCTGCCATCACTACCTCCTCCCTCCCTCCCTCCCCTCCCCCTGCCATCACTACCTCCTCCCTCCCTCCGTCCCCCCTGCCATCACTACCTCCTCCCTCCCTCCCCCTGCCATCACTACCTCCTCCCTCCCTCCACCCTGCCATCACTATCTCCTCCCTCCCTCCCCCCCTGCCATCACTATCTCCTCCCTCCCTCCCCCCCTGCCATCACTATCCCCTCCCTCCCTCCCTCCCTCCCTCCCCCTGCCATCACTACCTCCTCCCTCCCTCCCCCCTGCCATCACTACCTCCTCCCTCCCTCCCTCCCCCTGCCATCAATACCTCCCCCTCCCCCCTGCCATCACTACCGCCTCCCTCCCTCCCCCCTGCCATCAATACCTCCTCTCTCCCTCCCCCCTGCCATCACTACCGCCTCCCTCCCTCCCCCCTGCCATCAATACCTCCTCCCTCCCTCCCCCCTGCCATCACTACCCCCTCCCTTTCCTCCCCCTGCCATCAATACCTCCTCCCTCCCTCCCACCTGCCATCACTATCTCCTCCCTCCCTCCCCCTGCCATCACTATCTCCTCCCTCCCTCCCTCCCCCCTACCATCAATACCTCCTCCCTCCCTCCCTCCCTCCCCCTGCCATCACTACCCCCTCCCTCCTTACCCCCCTGCCATCACTATCTCCTCCCTCCGTCCCTCCTCCCTGCCATCAATACCTCCTCTCTCTCCCTCCCTCCCCCCTGCCATCACTACCTCCTCCCTCCCTCCCCCCTGCCATCACTACCTCCTCCCTCCCTCCCCCCTGCCATCAATACCTCCTCCCCCCCTGCCATCACTACCTCCTCCCTCCCCCCTGCTATCAATACCTTCTCCCTCACTCCCCCCTGCCATCACTACCTCCTCCCTCCCTCCCCCCCTGCCATCACTACCTCCTCCCTCCCTCCCTTCCCCCTGCCATCATTACCTCCTCCCTCCCTCCCCCCCTGCCATCACTACCTCCTCCCTCCCCCCTGCCATCAATACCCCCTCCCTCTTTCCCCCTGCCATCACTACCTCCTCCCTCCCCCTGCTATCAATACCTCCTCCCTCCCTCCCCCCTGCCATCACTATCTCCTCCCTCCCTCCTCCCCTGCCATCAATACCCCCTCCCTCCTTCCCCCCTGCCATCACTACCTCCTCTCTCCCCCCTGCCATCAATACCTCCTCCCTCTCTCCCCCCTGCCATCACTACCTCCTCCCTCCCCCTGCCATCACTATCTCCTCCCTCCCTCCCCCTGCCATCACTATCTCCTCCCTCCCCCCTGCCATTACTTCCTCTGCACATAGGCATTCCGAACTACACAGAGGCATTTCAACCAAGCATATTTACCAATTGTTTAATGCAAAATATATTTTAAATTAGCCTGATTTGGTTAGGTTAGGCTTAGCTAGGCTTGACTAGGTTAGGCTAGGCTTGACTAGGTTAGGCTAGGCTTGACTAGGTTAGGCTAGGCTTGGCTAGGTTAGATTAGGCTAGGTTTGGCTAGGTTAGGTTAGGTTAGGTTAGGCTAGGCTTGGCTAGGTTAGGTTAGGTTAGACTAGGATTTTAAATATTTGTAAGCCATCTTGGGGACGAAGTGACTGGTATCCGCTGCAAAATTGTATACTTGCGTTAAAAGCACAAGATAAATGCACTGTCCAGCAATATATATTACTGTAGTATAGTTTATATCAGACTATATCTATCAGGTTAATCCGGTAAATTCAAATACTGCTTTGCTCCTCACTCTCTTCTTTGAATCCTTTGCTTCTATTTGTAAACAGAATTACACGGATTACACCGACATATACAACTATATATCTACACCGTACACAAACACATCCTGGCAATATACTTTGACAAGGTGGTGTGGAAGTGTTGTTGAGCTGAGAGAGTCTTGGCGGGAATGAACATCTTTCCCGCGCATTGTGTGTGTTGTTATTGTTGTGTTGCCACCAGCTGGTCCCCCGCCGCCTCTCGCCACCACTACTGACCTCCATAACCCCTTCACCAAGCGCCATACCCTACTCCCTGACATTGATTTACACCATTTTCATGTATATTGGTGTCAAACTATGATGCATTGTCAGTATTTATAGCGATATATCGGTGATAGATGGGTTCTTGGCGAAGGATGGGGTCCAGGGGGATCAACTACCGCTATAAAACTGAAACAGCTGATAGTCATGAAGGCACTACGGGCTCACCATAGCCCGTGTTACCTAAAACTTTTTGTTTCAGGTAGCGAATCTTTAACAACAACAATGATAGTCATGCTCTATACCGTCAACAGATGACGGTCAGTAATTGTAAACTCTCCATGTTGTTAGTTTACTTCAAATCAAATTAAAAAATTTAAATGGTCACTGCTTGATCGCAAGCGGGGGATCGCAATTTACTCTTTGTTTAAGTTTCACGTTCAATTTGTTATTAAGGGACTATCAATTAGGATTTGTATTAATCTATTGCTTTGCCTCTGTGTCTTTAAGTTATTTTCAGCTAAGGTACGCTAGTTGCAGTGCATTCGGGTGGGCCCCCCCCCCCCCAATTTTTTTTTTCCTCCGGTTATTTCGTCCTATTACACTCGTTTCCCTCATTATATATTCTGAATATTGTGCATTATATTTGACCACCCATTCTTCATCGTATCGACAGTACATTAAGTTACATTTGGACGCTACCGAGAAGTTTAGCATGGCCGCGCACGGTGTCATGCAAAAACAAAACTGGCCATTCGGCCTTCCTTTCGGCAAGCTCAAGCCAGTCAGTTAGCATGACGTCGGCCAGCTTGTGGTTGGCCAGCGCAGCCAGCATGCTGTTGGCCAGCAGCAGCCAGCATGCTGTTGGCCATCCGGTCGCTAACGTTCTTTGGCCATCCGGCCTTCTGGGCTATTTTACTCTTCTTGTTCCTTCGCCATTGTTGTTTCCTACTACGTAATAGTATTCTATTTAATTTTACCTCATCTATCATTAGGTTAGGGGCCCCTTACCTCCAACCGCTATTCCTTCCACTGCGCTCTGCCCGCTTGGCGCTCAACGCCGGCTTCTTCTGTTCCCTTTTTTCGCAGCCACGACAAGCTGGAACCCCCCCCCCCCCCTCCTCACCCTAATGCGGCGAGGAAGAGAACGCGAGCCGGATATTCCTCTGATCACCATTACAACGCACGCAGCGGTGCCGGGATGCAGCCGCCCAGGGCCTACGTTAATACTATTATCTTCCCTTTATTTGCTGGGCTATATGGCAGTATTATTATTCCGTATCGTTACTGTCATTCCAGTATTATTTTATTAAAATATAAATTGTTATTATGGTTTGGCGTTGCTTTCTTAATTTCTTCCATTCTGCGGCACTTGCCGTCATCGGTTATTTACGTTATTACATTGTATTCTTCATTGTACGATTATTTACGACATTGTATTCTTATTATTATCCTTATTACAGTTACTGAATGGCAGCTCCCTGCCGTCGATTTCACTTTGCTCCTGTTCTAAAGATGTTGACGAAGTTCACGGCGTACTAGCTGCGGCTCGCAGACGCTCATTGACAACACAAGACTACACTCAGCGGCCACTTCAGGCAGACTCCTTGGCTTCTATCCAGCCCAATCACCCGTCTGGAGGCAGAGATGGGATAGAGACCAAGGGTAATGTTCCCCGCTCACATTCTACATCCGCTTAGGACACAAGCATGTTATAGATTTGGCTTTAAGAATTGGTTCTTATTCCATTTTATTGTTTATGTATATATTGCTTAGTTGTATATACCAGTTCTTGGTATATGTATTGTTTATATTCAAGATTTATAGTGTTTCGTATTACCCTGTTATAGTTGCTTTGTGCTTCCTTGCTGTTCTCCTACTGGCTTTCTCCCACCTTTGCTCTTAGCAAAGGTACTTCCCCCTTCCGTTTGCTGGAAGATTCTTAGAATTGTTAGCCCCCTTCATTGCTACAGTATAATTATTCGGATGCTCTTTATTCATCTAGGATTGTTAATTAAGGTTTCTCTTAATTCCTGCTGCCGGGCTCCCTCCCCCGTTTTTCGTCTCCGTATTGATTCAGCTAGGGTTTCCCTCTCGTCTGTGCTCTTGCCTGTCACGATAACACTGCATGCCGCTTCTGCCCACCCTTACTGCCTTATATCTTTCAGCCCGGGGGAGGTGAGCTACGCGACAAAAAATCGACGCACGCTCCGACTGAACCAGGTATCGCTTACATGGTCAGGAATCAACACTCTTCGGATCCTACAAGCACAGATCCTACAAGCGCTCCTGTAACCAGCCGAGATTTCTCCAGGATCCTACGCGCTGCCCTCTCGGCGCTAGGCGTGACTTCAGATGACTACGCTCCGCACCCAGCTGTCTCGGGACGGGCTCGCCACATCAGAAATAATGGCAGACGGCAGGCGGAAGAGTAGTTATTATTATTATTAACATCTTTATTGACAAAATTAATTACAATTTTGCCTAATCTGAGGATTTTGATAGTCTTATTAAATTGAGGTTAATGCTAGTATTCACTGTCACGCAGGACAGAGGGTCATACATAAGACAATAGGTCTAAACTGTAGGCTGAAGCACATATATATCACGGTTACAATCAATGTTTTAATGTGTGGATATGTGAAAACAACTTTCTATTGTGCACTGCCACACAAGGGCAGGGATGGGTTCATAAGTGATGCAGCTTAGAATATAAGTAGAAATTGTTCTTCAAGAGTAGTGCTCACATCCTACGTCAGACGGGACGTTGTTGCTCTGCTACTTTGAGTGCCTCACGCGGCCAGCTGGCACTCGCCCTTCGGGGGGGGGGGGGGGTCCGGCCGCTGGCCTGCGGTGGGGGTGCAGCGCCGGTCCCCAAGTGTCCCGCTGTCCGCAGCTAATACTTTGCCCAGTCTAGGTGCTAGTAAGCCCTACTTGTAGTCACACCCCCTTCTCCTTATCCATTAGGTCTTTTACGGCCTCTTGGCCGGGTACATTACGTGTTATGTGGTCTCTCACTTATTAGTTATTCTTTGTGTCCTGCCTGTTATATCCTAGTGTTATATAATTACTACACATTTGCACTCGGCCTTAATTCTAGTACCAGTTAACCTTTAGGTTTCTGCAGAATTAGTTTCCATGTCACTATAGGCTAAGGTCTCATACTTACTACGGGTGTACCTTTTAAGTTAAATCTAGTCCTCGGACTTGGAATTGTTACTGTTAATTCTTACTTTATATATTTACTTTATATATTTTAATATAAACGTTATATATTTACTTAATTTATATTTGGAAACTTTATATATTTACATGTTCAATATTAAGTTTAATATAATATCAACTTTGTTATAAGTCTATAATATAAACCGTGTTTAATATAAACTTTATATAATTACTTATATATTTGAACTTTATATATTTACATGTTCTGCAGAATTTAATCTTCAATAAACTTTAACGCCCCATACTGCCAGTATCTTTCTCCCCCTGGTCAGAAAATGTTTATTCAGGTAAAGTACATACATACAAGAGGTTATACAAAAATTGATAGATTTATAGATAGAGCTAGTACATACAATGCCTAAAGTCACTATTACGCAAAGCGTTTCGGGCAGTATGGCAGTATTTCAGGCACTTCATTCATTATGCACCCCATACCCATCTTGTGGGCGGTAGTGGAAAGGGTTACAGAGGCACATAATGGGCTCAGGGACTGAACCCCACAATTCATTTAGCTAAGCAAGTTACAATCTTGATGAGCTAGTTACAAAATTCAGTATAAGTCGTCACATCATCAATGGGTTCGAGATCGGTCACAAGTACAGTTTCTAAATTAAGCAACTGACATATGTGGAGAGCTAGTGTCAAAATTGATATGTTTGTCCTGCACACCGCCCCCCATCCAGTGGGCAGCGGTGGATAGGTTACAATCACTTAGTTATTACCTATAGTTAGCAAACTGGGGATATTTGGCTAAAATTTCTGGTAGCAGATCATTTTGAATGAAAAAGAACACTGCTTTTTCCAAAGAAAAAGCGGTAGATTTTCTGAGGGAAGAAAACGTGTTTAAGGCAGCTGAGTCTAACCGCTCAAGCTGCGCGCGCAATGAGCCGAGGTTATATAAGCTCTGTCGCGGACTGGGTGGGCCACGTGAGACATAAATTTTAATTTTTTTAAATTTTGGCCCGAGGAGCGAGTTTAATGGGCAGCGCCACTCATCTTGTGAGTGGACATACCGCCATAGCAGAATGTACAACACTCCCCAATAGGAAGAAAACCCGCTGCCTTGGAAACACAAACCGTAACTGCCTCTATTTTCCGCTTGTTACAACTTGTAATAAAGTTGTTCCATCTTGGCTTAACGTGTTTATGACGTATTAGAACGTTGTTACAACTTGCTATATTGGTTGTTATAACTGGTTAGGAGGTGTTAAAACTTGTTCGAACGTTGTACCAACGTTGTAGTTTCGGTGTGTGTTTGACGGGTGGGTTGTTCATCCTGTCACTTGTACCGAGACATAGCTGGGACTTGCTTAACTGTCTCAAGTGAACAGCTCCTCAAACAAGAAGATTAACATCTATCAACCCTTAAAAGCTTACGTTATCTTACGGGTGCAAAATGGGGAAATCTTTTATGAACAGTATCAATATTTGACAAATAGTGTTTTCCTAACTCAAACAATGTGGGGTTTATTATTCTACACATATTCCTAATGTCTCTCAGGTGTTCACATTCACGTAGATAGTGGTCAAGGCGGTGTCCATCACTCTCACCACAGATTCTACAACTTCGCTGATCAACTGTTGTTTCCATTCCATATCTCCAAGGATATTTGTATCCAAGACGGATTCTCGCTATTACTGATTCTCTCCCTCGTCCTCCTCTTCGGCCATAATGATTGGGATTGCCAGCTGCAACCATGTTGTACCATCGTGCAGATTCACTGGTTTGTGCTTCTATCCTCCTTTCCTCAGTTACCTTGTCACGGTGATGTTGCCTGACAATACCTCTAATTTGTAGTTGAGTCTTGGGTATGAAGTATTCAATATGGTCTCCTTCAGCGCCTTCAGCAGCCAGCACATCTGCTCGTTCATTCCCACATATTCCAACATGGGAGGGCATCACCAACATGGGAGGGGATCCACAGAAACTTGATGACTCTTCCCTGA